GACTCTGGGTCATAATCCCCCAGCTGGGACCCCAGCAGAGAGCACCCGAACTGAGAAAGGTGCCCATAACACCAGCCTGTGAGGAGCAGCAGGTTGTTGTTTGTCAGGGAGAGATGGCTGGAAGTGCAGGCACCCTCTTAAGGGCCAACACACAAAATTTCATGTGCAGGCACTCACCTTGTGCTGCAGCAGAGGGAGGGCAGAAGGGACCGGAGCAGTGTGAGCAGAAGCCAGGGTTGAGGGCTCTGGGGTTAGAGCTCCGAATGCAGACACCACGGTTTCTTGTGCTGACTGAGAGAGAGAGAGAGAGAGAGAGAGAGAGAGAGAGAGAGAGAGAGAGAGAACACGATGTCTCAATCATATCTGTTCCATAGAGTATATAACTACACAGTCTTGAGGCTGGTTTCCCAAAGAGCACATTGTATGAAACATTATTTTGCTAAAATCCACCTCACTTTGAGCATTTCACCTAGTATATGCTGTGTTGAGTATTAGTTTCATAGGTTTGAGTGCCAGCTTTATTTTGTGAGAATTCCAGCATTAGCCTCCTTCAACCTGATTTCAGATCCAGAGTTTTAGGAAAGCATATTAAGATGGGCTCCTGTGCAATCTACTAAAATTGTTCGTCTTCTTTTCCTCTGTCCAGAGTGACAGGGAGGAGTTGTGATGAATAGAAAGAGCATAGACCAGGCATTAGGAGACTGGAGACCTAGTCACTGGTGTGATCGAATTTATTGCTTAATATTAGCTCATACATTTAACATCTTTGAGCCTCAGTTTTCTTCTCTATTAAATGATGACTGAAAGGGAAGAAAATGACTAAATATTTAGAGGCTGAAATGTATGTATATTGTTATAGGCCTTATCACTTAACCTATTATTGTAGCAAAACAATTGCAATAGCTTTGAAAGCATATATTTGCATGTATATGTTATGGGATCCCTAATAAAAATTCCCCGTTTTAATATACCAATCTTTACTGGGATATAAGCAAAAACTGTAAACTTATTATTCATAATAGCCCTGTGCTTTTCCCTAGTGAAATAAATAGTTGTACTCAAACTGAAGAAATTATGAGAACCTCAGTGCAATCTTTAAGTTTGGCAATTAAGCGGTACTATCCTTTACTTGTATCATTGAATTTTATGAAAGATTTAGTATTTGTTGGAGAAAGAGTTGGATTAGTCTGACATGAGTAATCTGAGATCTGTCAAGGACAGGGCCATTTATAATCCATGAATGTCGTTAAAAACAGGCTGCTTTTGCAAGCAATACTGAATCTAACCTCACTCTGTAACTTCTGAAAATTTGAAATTCAAATGTGATAGGTAACAGATTAGCCATTTTAACAGCAGCCAAGGCGCTCTCTGATGCTATACTGCCCTCTTGTGGCCAACAGGGAAAACTGCAGTCTGAAGAGTTGTTTAGGTTTTCCCTCCATTTCTTGTTTTGCCATGCTTTACATATCCTTGTATGCTGCCCTAAAAACTTTATGAAATAAAGCAGCATCTAAGCAAGTAAACCATTATGTCTAAGACGAGCAGTGTTGCCTAAGGTTAAAGATGAGTGTTGGAAAACCAGTCTGCCTGGGTTCAAATTACCAGCTGCGATAACTAGGAACGTAACTTAGGTTCCCGACACCCTGCTCCTCCTCATCTGTAAAATGAAGGTAACTACAGCACCTGGTGTTATTATGGGAATTAGTGAGTCAGTATATGGGAAGGACTAAGAACAGGAGCTGACACGTGATAAGCGCCATTAAAAGTGAGAGCTCAGCCGAAACCGGTTTGGCTCAGTGGATAGAGCGTCGGCCTGTGGACTGAAGGGTCCCCGGGTCGG